TGTGCATTTTTTGCTGTTTGTGTTCAAATGCAATTTGCATCTCTCTCATTTATTTTACCAACACATATTATATACCATTTTTTAGACAACAAAAAGGGCTTTAATTTGATGTGACATATACATATATAAATTCTCATTTATTACCAAAACAAATACAAAATAATGTGAAAAAAACCCAAAAAATGCCTTTTGAGACACAGCCATTTAAGTTAGAATTTTTACGCTGTGTCCATGCCTCACTTTGGAATTTTTTTAATAGGTTGTGTTTTCCAATTACTTCACAAAGGCATACCATTTCCTAAAGAAGACACCCCAGGGTGTTTCAAAAGGAATATTTGAAACCTTAACGTGGTATCATTTTTTCGTTAGCCTGTACCAAGTGTAGAGGTAATACGCATTTTCCCCCTTTTTTAAAACTTTGTTTAAACTTCAAAAAGTTTTTTTCACTTTTAAGTTTTTTTTTTAACTTTTAACCCCTAACTAGCCTAACCGTAAATCCCCCAATTTCCCCACTAACTTCTACCCACCCTAGCTAAATAAATAAATATTTTAAAATATTTAAATTAATTGAATACATTTAACCCTTGAGGATTAAAAAAAATAAAAGTTAACCCTCAGGGTTTAAAAAAAAATCAGATCACAGTGAAATCAAAGGGCAGGGAAGGGGTTAAATTTTATTTGAAAGAGGTGAAGGGGGGGGGGGATTTTGTAACTAACTGGCTTTTTTTACAGGGAGAGACAGATCAGAACAATTCACAGCTCACACGGATCTGCAGGGAAACAGATCGGGTTTCACTGCAGCACGTGTGACCGCTCTGACTCCCGGTCAGAGCGATCACATGGGCTGAATCAGTGAAACTGCACATGGTAGTGTGCATCCGATATGGAGACACACTACAGGAAGATTAACCCCACGATTGCCGCGATTGTGGCAATCAGGGGTTCATTTTCATTTTGGACGGGAATTTTCCGTCCAGCGTCCTTAAGGGAGTGCTGCAATGACGGAAAATTTTCGTCCAGCGTCCTTAAGTGGTTAAGTATGAATATTAATCTTTGAATTAATACATAATAGTTTGGCAATAAGTAACAACATTAATATTTTTTATAGTTCTTGGTATTACGTTTAAATATGTGGATAGAAAATAAACAAAACAGTATAATATTAAATGCATATTTAATTAGCAAGTAACAGGATTAACATGCTAGATGTAACAATGAATTACAGTAAATGCAAGTAACAGGCTATATGAATTACAGTACAATACTGCAGCATATAACTTGCGTACAATACTGCAGCATATTACTTGCGTACAATACTACAGCCCTTGGCCGTGGCTAAGTCAGCTAATGGTAGGCTACATTCTTGGGCAGTCATAGAGACAAACAGACTGAATCCCTCTTATATCTGTTTTTTGTTCTTAGTGGGATGCTTTCTGTGAAGTAACTTCTCTAGCGTAAGCTGCCTGTGATGTCACAGACAGAAGCACGTGATGTAAGGAAACCATATACTGGAAGCAAATGCTGCATACTGCCCATAGTGGTGTCTCTAAAGCATTTACCTTATTAAGATTTATTTATGGCATAGACATGTTGGTAAGCTGGTCATTAATAATAGTCTTTGGGAGCAGGGGGCAGGGGGGAAGGTGGACAGACCATAAATGTTGGATGAGAGATTGCAGTTTATTGAGGCATGTCTCTGTGAAACTAGTCGAACTAGCCACAATGACATGTCTAATACCTTAAGGAAACCTGATGACTTATATTTGCAAAAATGCTTCTCATGTTGCTCTACTCTGGAAGGAGACCAAGACAAGATTGTGGCCACTAATAATGCCACATGAACTTTAGTCAAAATACTCAGTTTGCTTGCTGAAACCTAAAACCATGTCAGATAAAATGTCCCAAAACACAAAATTCAGATTAATTTCTAAACTATAAAAGGAGAAACTCATTTAACCCCTTAAGGACCAAACTTCTGGAATAAAAGGGAATCATGACATGTCACACATGTCATGTGTCCTTAAGGGGTTAAAGATTTGAGAGAAAAGCTTATTTGGCGTGAGGAATTAAATTGTATGCATGTATTTCCTGATCTGTCGGCATTACTTTACAGAATAAACCATGCGTTTCAATTTATTACTTCCACTATTTGCCAAAATGGCATACAATATTGTTGCGTATTTCACCAGGAACAGTATCACCTTTACAATATTCTCAGTTGGGGAGAGTCCTTAAGTTCTTTACTCTTGGGATCTCCACAACACCCTTTCATGTAATAATCTACACCTGCATGTCCTCTGAAATTAAAGAGGGACTGATTCCTCTTCTGCAACTGTCACTAGTCTAATACTATCCTTACCTTTTTGTGTCATTTTACCCCACTCCCTCTAGCATGTAAGCTCATTGAGCAGGGCCCTCAACCCCTCTTTTCCTGTGTGTCCAACTTGTCTGGTTACAACTACATGTCTGTTCGTCCACGTATTGTCAAGTGCTGCGGATTTGATGGCGCTATATAAATATCATAATAATAATAACCCCCCATTTGCCAAAATGACTGATTTGGTTCTAACCCCAAAGTATTTTCTCTTTGGTGTGCAGTGTGTTTGTGGTTATTTCCCATTTGCCTCTTAAAAAGTTACATGAAATGAGATAATAAACAGATGCTTGGTGTTTGTTTTAGGGTTTGCAGGATCGCCAAGTTATTTTTAGTGTCTGTGTTCTCAAATTTCTAATTTAATCTTTCATAAAGGTCACAGAGTAGTAGAGTAGTTTACATTGGCGTGTACCATTAGACAGGCCCTGGGGAGATAGCGCAGCTAAGCGGACAAGGGCACATGTAGGAGTGTGGGGATAGATGCATGGGATTGGATGGGAAAGAGTGTGTGGGTGGGATTATGTTCTGTGTAAGTTAGTGTGGGGGAGGTCTTACCTCAGTGCCACTTGGGATTCGGGCCAGCAAACAGCTTCCTGTCCTCCAGCTCCTGTTTGCCTGGGTCTGCAGGTTTACACAGCTTGAGGTGATGGAGGTTGAGGCGATCCGGTCGTCCCTCAGGGCTGCTGCTGCGCTGGATGGTGGCCGGCACCTAAGGGAGCAATTCACAAGCATTACTGGAGGTATGGCTGCCGGTGTGGGCACCCCCCGTGGCCTACCCTCCCCTGGGACACCTCCTGCGGTCTCCCCTGCTGCCTCCCATGCGGCGCCTGCCCCTGGGGGCCGCACCAGCACTGGCAGGCATTCCCACCCGCCTGCCAGGCTGTCCCTGGATCCTACTCCCCGGGCCCGGTGAGGAGCAGGAGCCTGGGCCCGGGGCACCGCGGGGGCCACGTGTCTGGGGCTCCAGGCACGTGGCCTACTACTGGGGGGCTGGGATTTCAGGCCTACTAAGGCCGCGCGGGTGGCACGGCCTTCAGACACGAGGCCTGCCACTGCCGCGCGGCCTGCTACCCCCATGGCCGCCCGGCCTGCTCCTTCCTGGGCCGCCCACTACCTCCAGGCCGGGGATGCGGCCTGCAACTGCCGCGCGGCCTCTTGGTGCGGCTGCCGCGCGGCCTACTCCTCTACACACCATCCGCCCCGGCCACCAGTGCTGGATTGCGGGCCGGGGGCGGTGGGCGGTGGGCGGCGGATCCTGTGATCCGGGCGGCAGGGGGCCGCCCGGCAACTGTGCAGATCCCCCGCGGCCGGCGGGGAGCATGCTGCTGCAGTTCGTGGATCCATCCAGCAGGTGGCGCCTGGATCACAGCTGATGTCTTCTGTGGATGCTGGAACTGCTGTTTCTTTGCCTCAGCCTTCTGTGAGCGCAGTGCCGGGCTTGGATCGCCAGGCTGCGTCCGGTGAGTACATTTCCCTTCTTTTAGCGCTTCGCGTGCGTACGTTCTTTCTTCCTTTCTTCCTAAAAAAAAAAATAAATAAAAAAAAAAAAAATTGATACAGGCAGGAAAAATTACAGGTCAGAAATACAAGGTAAAATTCACCATTGACCAAAAAAAAAAAAAAAAAAAAAAAGGAATCCAACGTCAAGTACAAGGGGTAGAATTAAATATAAAAAAAAAAAGAAAAAAAAAAAAGAATCCAACGTCAAGTACAAGGGGGACAATTCAATATATAAAAAGAATAAAATAAAAAAATTATATATATATATATTTGTGTTAGGTGCTTAAGATAGTATAGTATGAAATATCATGAATAAGTGTAGGATGAAAAAAAGGCGCAAGACGGTTGTGGTGTGCCGAAACCGACGATGAGGTAGGCCTGAGAAAGAAGAGGGCCCACCCAGGAAAAAGAAATAGAAAGGAAATAAATGTTAAAAGTGGTGTGGTGGGAGGGTCATTCAACGCTGACCTCGAACGGTAAGGAGCCAGGCAAGGGGAGTGCCTTAAGTAGGCTAGGGGTAGCAAACCAGCACCTCCCACAAATGCAGGCAAATTGCCTTAATACTTGTGTTAGGTGCTTAAGATAGTACAGTATGAAATATCATGAATAAGCGTAGGATGATAAAAGGAGCAAGTCGGTTGTGGTGTGCCGAAACCGACGATGAGGTAGGCCTGAGAAAGAAGAGGGCAAAAATTAAGTAATCAAATTTATTTAACAGACAACCAATACATATACATTTATCAACCAGACATGTTTATGAAAGCATCCCTTAATTCTTGTACTGGGTTCGGTATGTACCGTGAGTAAGCGGATGACTTCCAGCGCCCCAGTGTTTTGATAACATGAGTTGGGATGTTGAAAACTGGAGGCTGTGGACGCGGCTCCTATACGAAAGGAGTGTCCTGAGTAATTGTTTGCGTTGAGGCCCAGTTGTGTGAGCAAGGACCTGACGTAGGTCATGAAGGTTGTAGTGGTGAGTACTACACCTTGTAGTTGTAATAACGGTTGCGAGGGCAGTAAGTGATGGTGCTGTATGTAGGCATCAAGAACCTTGACGGGACACCATCTGTTGTGCGTGGGATAGTACGGAATGTTTACAGGTATGTGCTGGCTGGTTTTGGAGTGAGGTAGAGACAGGATGTAATGATCCATATGTTTTGTCAAGTGGGAATAGAGGAGGAATGGAGTGGTTTGGGTCGTGGAGGTCGTAGTGAATTCTCTGGGTCGTAGAAATCCATAGAAAGCGATGTATATTGCTGTTTTGATGATAGAATTCGTATCAGTGTCAAACGGTTTTAGGTCGAGTAGGTTAGATAATGCTTTGAAGATATGCTTATCTATGGGTAGCCTCTGGGCCAAATGTGTGGGTTCTGATTTTTGAATACCTCTGAGTATGGTCTTAATTTGGTGAGAGGCCATGAAACTGTTGTTATTTGGGTGTAAGATGAGCATGTGGTGTTGAATGCCTGTGAGATAGAGTTTGATGGTGTTGTATGACATTTTGAGTTTAAGGTGGCAAAAGGAAGCAAACCCCAAAAAAGATGTCATAACAAACGGTTGTATGATGTTATGTTCCAGAAGGAATCGTTTGAATAGTGTGAAAGCCCTGCTGTATGTTTTGTTTGTATTGCGTGAAAGTGCCAACTGAGACAATGTCCTGCTGTGCTGCATGATGACGTCTAGTCCAGTATGAGATGTTGAAATGTTGGAGTGATGGTGGCTGTGGGTGTCGCTGACGGGAGTGCTTGATGAAACTCCTGAAATTTAAAGCGAGACAAATTGTCAGCAGCTGTGTTATATACACCTGGCACATGGAAACAACATAGGAAGAAATTATGACAAGCTGCCAACCAAGTGAGTTTCCTCAGAAATCTCATGATCATAAGGGATTTGGAGCGACCTTTGTTGATGATGTGACAGGTTGCCTGGTTGTCTGAGTAACAACGCACTGGCGTATTAGCCCATAAATGACCCCATGCTACGGCAGCCGCCACTATGGGGTAGATCTCAAAAAGAGCTGAGGTAGTGGAAAAACCTTCCAAATCCAGAACTGCTGAAGGCCAGCTGCCCCAAAGCCATTCGTTCCCAAAAATTGCTGCAAAACCAGTGGTAGATGCCGCATCTGACCAAATGGTAGGAGATGATTCAGTCAATTGAGGGAGGAACATACTTTTACCATTCCAAGTGGTTAAAAACCTCTTCCACATGTTTAGATCTGCCGTAGCTTGGGCATCTAAGGACAACCTGTGCGTGTCATGTAGAAAAAGTGGGAAAAGATGCAATAGTCGTGAAATAAAGGAGCGGCCTTGAGGTATGATGCGCATTGCAAAATTTAGTGACCCCAGCAGGGACTGTAGTTCTTTGCGGTTGCAAGTGCCGAGCTGTAGGTAGTTGTTTATGTAAGTGAGAATATTCTCTATCTTATCGTATGGTAGGCTTGCTTGCATTGTGGCAGAGTCTAATTGGATACCCAGAAAAGTGATAACCGTGTCTGGCCCTTCTGTTTTCTTTGGGGAGATGGGTACACCTAGTTGCTCAAACAGCTTAGTGGTAGCTTTGAGACTAGTGGGAGGTGCAGTATTCACCTCGACCAGTAGGAAATCGTCCAAGTAATGTAATACTGTAGGGCATCCGGCTATGTTCAATAGTAACCAGCATAATGCTTCGGCAAATGTGTCGAAAATAGCTGGGCTACTTTTGGACCCAAAAGTTAACCGGGAGAAAAAAATAGTAGTTCCCGGACCACTTGATGCCATGCAGGTGCCACAGTGTGGGGTGGATAGGGAGTAATTTTAAGGCGTTAGTAATGTCGGTCTTACTGAGCCAGGCTCCAACCCCTACTTGTATGATAGCTGTAATGGCGTGATCTATGGTGGTGTATTGCAGAGAGAATTCCTCAGAGGGTATGAGGGAATTAAGACTGGGGTTGGCCGATGAGTGGGGAGCCGATAAGTCAATAATGAGTCTCTGTTTTTGGGAAGATTTCCCTGTGACAATACCAATAGGGTTGGTGCGCCATTCTGTGAATGGAGGAGTTGTAAAAGGCCCCAATACAAAGCCCTCATCCACTTCTTGGTTTATGAGGGTGTCAACCACTGTGGGGTTGTGTATGGCGGATTGTAGGTTAGGGCATTCCAGAGTTCCAGCTGGTATGTGTAGGATACCTGTGTGGAAGCCTTCTGTTAAACCAGAAATAAGAAACATCAATGCTGTGAATACTGGCATATTAATGGACGTAAGGTAAGGCTTAGAATACATTTTATTTGGACACATGGTCTTAGCATGTGCCCTAAAACATTTTGAACAGACATGCAAAAGTCTACATCCACTGTAATTACAAGACCCAACATTGAAATTATTGCATATCTGGGACTTGCCCAGAAACTTGATTGGGCGTCCCAATTTATCTTTGGATAGTTTCCCTGGATCCCCAGAGGAACTAGTTCCTTGTGTGGAGGCATGTCCGTCTGCCGTGTTGGGACAAAAATTAGTAGTATGGGCTGTGGAGGAGCAGTATGCACAAGCTGGTGTTCTTAGACCTGCAAAGTGTCTGCAAAATAAGACGGTATCAATCCTTCCCCAGTTGGATCGTGTACCGTACTGGGAGAAGGCTCCAGCCACTTTTGCAGAAAAAGACCTATGGTAGTCATAGAATGCTGAACCACCATACTTGTTGCCCAGGTCTACCAGCTTGTGCATATAGAGATCAAACTCCTCTCTTCTGTTGGGGTACACCGCACAGACGACATCCCTGTAAATACCAAACGCTAGTACAAATTCAGGGATAGTCAGTTTCCTGTTCAGGCGGGCATCCCTAGATCTGACAATAACAGAAACATCATCATAAGCATACGTCTTATGTTCCACAATGTCCTGGGAGGCAATCAACAGGGAAGCCAGGTTGACGTTTTTACCTTCCAGGATATCCCTTTTGATATGCTCAGGTATCATGTGGGCCGGGCTAACTTCCTGGTCATCCAGGGTGCTGGCTGGAGCGACTAATGGCAAGGCTGGTGTTTGTACCGCAGCCGCGGGTAGCCCTGCTAGAGTGAGGGCCGTGGTGACCGACTCAAGTTTCTCCAGCCTGGAGTTGACCTTGCCCATGGATGCCATGAGTGAGGATAACATGGCATGTATGTCCCCTGGGTTGGATTGGCTAGATCCTTCCCCGGCCTCCATGTTACTAGTCGATGTGCGCAGCAGTTTGAAAAGTTCTGCCTTCCTTGCTGTAGCAGGGTAGGGGATTTGTCGTCTCCTTAATTCCGTGGTTATGCGTGGGATTGTCCAGGATCTAATTGATTCTGGACTGGCTAGCTCTCCTCCTTGTGTGGGAGTGACAGCTCTAGCCGGGGTGCTAGGCAGGGAGAAATCCTCTACCCCTTCCTGAGACATACTATAAATAAAACAATAATTAGTATATGGAACCACCAAATTGTACTGGCAGGCTAGCTAGGCCGGATGGCGAAAGTATTATACTTGTTTGGTGACAGGTGAGGCCCTACTAATTGCCAAGCGGCTTGAGAGGCTCTATCTATGGGAATCCTGTGACCCTATTGCCAGTACTCTAAACTAGGGGGATGAAATGAAATGTATGGTAGAATACCATATGAGCAGGTGTACGTACCTGATAGTATGATAAATCACAGGAATAACCGTGTGGAGCAATTATATAAGCTTGACAGCCTGAAAATGGGTAAAAGAGAGTAGTATGATGAGTGTGGAGTGTAAAAAGAACCAGACTTATAGTCTGTAGCAGTAATGTATAAAATTATGTTGATACTATGGGAATAGCTATGAGTGGCTCAGAAACGTTTGCATGCTTGAATAAGACATCTGAGGGAGGCCGTGGCCTATGTACCAACAATCTATGTGTTACGTGATAATGGTGTGTAAAGGAAAACATGAAACGTAGGTTATATACATATGTATATGACTGTGCAGGGAACGTATGATTGGTTGGATCAGTACGTGTGATTCAACCAGAGTATGCATGAAAAAGGAATTAAGCCTTATGTGTCATCGTCATGACAGAGAAATGAGGCCTGTAATGTAGGCTGAGTGAATTGAAATGAAATGGATAGTTATAAAACTCCTGGCGTGGGAGTTCAATGAACTGTACCGAAATGTGACTGGTTTTATAGAAAGGGACATGGATGAGGTCATGGCCTAATGAACACAGCGTTATGTATGATATGTAGCAGAATAACCACAGGAAGGGATACCCCAAAATGAATGAAAATGATGTAAAGTGATGTATATCTATATGATATGTTGTATAGAAAAGACGTATCAACCCGAGAATTATTGCTTAGATGAACCTATATCCTTTGTATGTGTTTGTATTAATAACCCAAAGTGAGGCTTGTAACATAGGCTGAGTCCATTTGTATAAATGGATAAGTAATGCAGACCCCTGAAAGCGTGGGAGTCAAAATGGTATATACAGAGAAGTGCCCTGATGTGGACGTAATGCAATACTGACAATATTTAAAAGTAACCAAAATCTATTAAGCAAGCAATTCTTAACCGAACGTTATATACACATAAAATGGTGAACATGATTCATGAAAGGATTATACGTGAACACACAGAAAAGCCGAAAGCAAATGGGAACACCGAAGTTAGAATAGTTTAACCGTATGATTATGCGAACCAAAAGCGTGGATGAGCGTATGTAAAATGCAAAACAACCGACTGATAAATCGTTTCAATAACATGAAATAGGATATGCGAAATGACTATTGAACGATTTAAATATGTTCAACCGAATGACCGTACGAATGAAAGCCCGCGAATGGCTTGAAACATTCGTGTCATAACCAGGGAAAAGCCGTAAAGCGAGGACCCGTGCTGTACCGTACGCCGTGGGAACCAGTCCTGGCGTGACAGGAAGGTCTGACTTACGGTTTAGGAGTCCCTGGGACGCGATCTACGACGGAGAACGGAGTCAGAAGAAGCTGGGCGGGCGGAAAGGCCTGAACAGGATTCCTGGACACAGCTTAACGTGGTGAAACCTCCTGGA